AAAGAATTACACAACTGGATACTGCCATAGGAAGGGATAAATAATATTATAACCAAATCAATAGATTTGTGTGAGACAGAATTTTTGATCTCACACCATACAAAACATTATTAATTGACAATATACAATGAATTCTATAAAAATAAATGATAACAATTATTTTTTTAAATTTTTAATCTCAAACAATAATGTTTGCATCATCTGTTCATTATGCTTAAGATCATTTTTAAGATTTTTTTCAATTTCTTTTATATCATTTTTAAGATTTTTTTCAATTTCTTTTATATTCTTTTTAAGATTTTCCTTTACATCTGGTTCAGGTACATCTGCCAATTTTCTAAGCTCCTCAGAGATAAATGGAGGAAATTCTGGATCACTGCTATCAATTTCTCTGATTTTCTTTTGAACGTCTTCAATTGGTGCCCAATAATATCTATATCAAAGTATCAAAAAAATTATAAACACTTATTGATCAAAGAAATAAAAATAAATAAAATCTGTATATTTACAAAATATCAGGAAACCATTCTTTCCAACGACGTTGATTAGGAAGTAAATAAAATAATTCAATATCTGTTATGATTTTTGCCTTTTGAGCCAAAAATGCTTCATCTATGTTATAATTTTCAATTTGATTGCTAAGAAGACCAATGAATAAATTCATCAAATATACTACAACAACAAATGAAAATAAAACAAATAATAATGTCAGATATGGATCATCTTGTAATTGCCAAGATCCAAATGTTCCACTATCACCTATTGAAAAAAAATCAATTATATTACAATATTTTAACAAACATATTGAAAATATTATTAAATAATATTAATATAAAATTTTACCTGTGAGAAAATTATATGTTGCCAGCATTGAGGAGCGAAAATCTGTAAACATGTTTGTGTTTCCATCAGGTTGTTGAACAATAATTGAATTTTGATTATATGAACTGTCATTTGTAAAATATGTAAAATATTTAGAAGCAAGATTCCAAGGATTATTGGGATCATTCTCTTTGAAATCAGGGCTGTCTAGTGTAAAATTTCCATCAATTGGTTTCAATAAAATGTAAAATGCATGGGAAAAACTTAAAATAATTATAAATAATAATATTAAAAATGAGAAAATTTTTTTAGCAACTCCTATAATGACTGCAAAATATTTTCCAAAGTATGTAAATGTTCTTAAAAATAGCATAAATTTCAGATCTAATAACAAATTGGATAATGAAACCAACTCAATAGCTGGTGAACCATTATAATATAGCCATAGAATTGAAGTAACAATTGGTAAGT